GTAATCATGAACTTGTGTTTCAGGCTGGGATTCTGACGGTTAAGTCTGATGTAGCTACAGGTACAGTTTAATGAGCCTATGACACCAGGGGCTGGGCATGTACGTCTGGGCTGCCTTTAGTTATCTCTGCTTTTGTAGAAGGCTGAGAGATTTAATTTTCTCATATACTCAATGTGTCAATCTCTCTCTCTCTCTCTGCCCCTCCCTCCATCCCTCTCTCCCTCTCTCTCTACACACACCTCGCACCCACCTTTCTTATTAGTGACAACTTTGACACTATGTATTATTTCCATGTCAGAAAACAGATACTCTGCCAGCAAAGAATTTATCTGATTCAGGTCTCTGTTGGGTGGTTAGGTCAAGATTCCACCTACTATTTGCCAACATACAGTAAAACAACACTTCACATAAACCAAATGCCACACACACGACAGGCAAGTGGCTTCCTTGGCACCCACCCCGTGCTCATGCGAGCCCAGCTGAGGCAAGGCCAGACTGGCTTTAGGCTAGAGTCTCACACTTTGGCAAGAAAGAGCATTTGCCAATAAAACTTTATAAAGTTTGTGTAGCCCACTTCAAATATTTTATTTTAAATAAATCATCAAAATCAAATCTAATTATTTTCAGTTGGAAAGGGAGAAACAGAGACAGTTTCACGTTATTAAAAGACAGCATTGCTTTTCGTACTTCCTTCACCTATGATTTTGAGAGGACTTTTGTTCCCCTATTTTGAGAGAATTATTGCTCCTTCAGGCCAATCCTACAATAAAAAAAGTTCCTACTGTGGGGAGAACAACAGCGTTGTGCTTCATCTATTGTCTCCTACCTACAGAACTGTAAATTACCATTACTGTTGACTGTTGCAAGGAGAGGTCCATAAGAATGTTCTATACATGTACTTTGAGTTTCCTTTTCGTTACTCTTTCGGAGATCTGAGACAGCTCCCAGACACTACCAAGATTAAGACTAATTCAGGCAGCAAGGGAGAAATTCTGTGAGATTTTAGAAATAATGCAATGCCTCTACTGCTGAAAATAATGCAACATTCATTTAACTACCACAGGTAACCAAAATAAATTGGAGAGTATCTGAAGCTCTGTAATCAATCCATTTAATGCATGTGTGTATGGATTTCTTCTTGCCTCCTTTCAGAAAAGGGCTTGAGGTAGCTTACAGACACGCAGACTAAATAGTTGAAAACACATGAGAATAGACATATATGATGAAGTCAGAAGTAAGCTTATTACTCACAACATGCATGCTTTTTTTTTTTTTTTTTTTTTTTTTTTTTTTTTTTTGAGACAGAGTCTTGCTCTGTTGCCCGGGCTGGGGTGCAGTGGCATGCTCTTGGCTCACTGCAAACTCTGCCTCCCAGGTTCAAGTAATTCTCCTGCCTCATCCTCTCCAGTAGCTGGGACTACAGACGCATGCCACCATGCCTGGCTAAATTTTTTTTTCTTTTTTTTTCTTTCTTTTTTTTTTTTTAGTAAAGACAGGGTTTTACCATGTTGGCCAGGCTGGTCTCAAACCCCTAACTTCATGATCAGCCCACCTTGGCCTCTCAAAGTGCTGGGATTACAGGCGTGAGCCACCGCACCCAGCCAAAACCTGCATGCTCTTAACTCCAAATTTATTTTTAGCTTCCTAGCAACAAAACCAAAGATAGTAATCATTCAAGATATAGTTATGCCTTCATAATTTTTTGCAGAGTCAGAGAAACAAAATACAGAAACATATTCAGTTAAACCCAGAGGCTTCTAGTCTCACTTTCGTCTCCTACTGCACCTAATCCACAGATGTTGAGGGTCAGTTATTGTCTGCATTCACCCATGCTTTTTTCCCTATTTGGAATGCCTGTGGCACCCAATGCGGGGTAATTTTGCTCCCCAGGGGACATTTGGCAATGGCTGGATATATTTTTGGTTGTCACAACCTTGCAGGGGATGCTACTGGCATTTAGTAGTTAGAGGCCAGGGATGCTGCTAAAGATCCTGCGATGCACAGGACAGTCCCACAGCAGAGAATGATCTGGCCAAACTCAGTAAGACTGAGGTTGAAAACTCTGCAGTGATATAATGGAGTGTGTGTGTATGTGTCCATGTATGTGTGTGTGTGAGAGAGAGAGAGAAAGAGGGGGAGTGTATGTGTTTTAATAAGATATAAATTAGTTGTTTCTCTGGCTTTAGAAAACACTAGACTTTTTTATAGTTTCAGTCTTGGTTTCTCTGCTCTAGAAAGCCATATATCAAGAGAGCTTTCATAATTTACAAAGGAGGAAAACAGTGTGCCCAAAGGTTTGCTCTGACTCCTGGATATAATGACAAAGAAATTTCAAAGTAGGAGGTCTCAAAGCCACAGCTAAAGGACATCAGAATAAATCGACCTGAATGTGTTATGAAAAACTGGGCATTGCTTAAAAATTGGAAGTCATCCCATCTCTTAACTCAATCTGACAAATAAGTCTTGCCAAATAGAATGCATTTTACAGCAGTGATGGAAGAACTGCTGGAGAGCAGGAGAGAGTAAACAGATGGAAAGAACACCGAAGGAAATTGAGAAATAGCCATCTGATGACATAATTGAGATTTGGACAGAGAACCACATGCCTGGGCTCTTCCAGCGCTGACTGACCTGCTCCATGCAGGTGCAGAGTCACTGTCCTCCTGGTGCCCCTCCAGCTGGGTGGCTTTCTCTCTTGCCAACTGCCTCTCTCAGTGATAGAAGGCATGAGCTTATTCACTTGGTTAACACAATATGGTACTTAATATAACCAGTTAAAAGCTTGCTTCTATTTTATCATACCTATCCTTCTATTTTTATTCTTTTCTTTTTCTTTATGACATCACCAGTTTTCTAGATATGGAAAGGCAAGCTTGTAATGAATCAGATAATAATATAATGTAGCTTTCCTCTCAATTATCTCAATAATCACTTATTTGATCCTTGCAGCACAAAGTCAGATAATTCAAGATTTAGGTCAGGCTGGTCTCAAACTCCTGCCCTCAAGTGATCCACCCTCCTTGGCCTCCCAAACTGCTGGGATTACAGGCATGAGCCACTGCACCTGGCTGCTCATAGGTTTTTATGAAGCTGCTAAGCAGTGATCCTACCTGACAATAATGCGATTGGCAGACGTAACAGGTCTGTGTTCATGCAAATCGAAAGAGTTAACTAGAAAATATGAGGCATTCCTATGAGGTCTGTCTCTGCTTCAACTGGGAGACACTTTATAGGGAAATGCAAACATCTCCATTGACACGGATACAAAGGAAAACCGCATCAATGTAGACTCGATCCTGCTCATCCAGAAAGGAATTAAGTGGAAGGCAGCCTCTGAACTATCCCCTAAATAAAGTTTCCTCAGGGTTTCTGGGAGGACGATTAAATGTCTTAGATTTCACAAATGTTTTTAAATCAACTGGTGTGTTCATCATAGCTAATCTGTCTACCCACATTATTCCTGGATTCTACTAAGCCATACTTCATTGGCCTCCTTTGAGTTATTTCATGTACTTCATTATCTTTAAAGTAAACCTTTTTTATTACATCTATAATTTATTTTTTTGTTAATTCAACCAGGCTTTTTAACCAATATGCAATTGTTTAATAGCTCTCTGCTTCTAAAAATAGTAATATATAGTAGATAAATATTATATTTAATAGTTTTATATAAATACACATACACATATGTAATAAACCTGCATATATATTATCTAAAGTCACTAAGCAATTAAAAAATAAGAGTTTAGTAATTCTAGCAAAATAACTCTGTTTTAGAGACGTGTAAAAAACAAACTTGTTTCCATGTGAAAGCTGCTTTCCACTATCCTCCAGCCCACTTCTCTAAACATCACTGGCTCATAAAATACACTGATAGATTTTATGACTTTGTAATCCTACTTATCATACATGGGAACTAATTTGACAGTGACATTACTAATTCCCCTCTATCAGTGAGACACTCCAGGAAGCTATCTCAAAACCATATGACAAGGACTAAGATGGCAATTTGCTAACAGATCTACGCATATGACTACATGTAGGGATGATACGAAGCTAGTGCTGTGCTCTGCACGTGTGATAAGCAGTACAGTGGCAGATGACTTCCAAAATAGGCCATGCTTAGAAGGAACTTTCAAGAATTCAGTTAAAAATAATCATGAGTCACACAACAACATTTTGGTCAATGATAGACCATATATAGGACTGTGGTCCCATAAGAATATAATACTGCATTTTTACTATACCTTTTCTATTTAGATACACAAATACTTACCTTGTGTTACAATTGCTTACAGTATTCAGTACAGCAACATGGTATCCAAGTTTGTAGCCTAGGAGCCACAGGCTATACCATATAGACTAGATGTGTAGTAGGTTACACCACCTAAGTTTGTGCAAATGTACGCTATGATATTCACACAACAACAAAATCGCCTGAGGATGCATTTCTCAGAATGCATTTCACACCCTGTTAAGTGACACATGAGTACAATAAGTTGGCAAAACCACCCAATGACTTCTGGTTTTCTCTCTGCCAACAGCCAGACTGGATGCAGCCAGGTGAAATGGTGATGAGGTGGGGGTGAGGTGAGGGAGTAGGACATGCTGCTGTTTGGTTTTATAATGGGAGAAGGAAAGCCCCTCCGAGACTTTGTATAATGTTTGGTTTTACTGGATAGCATTATCTTAGCCTAGATGGCTACAAATGCTAAAATGCACATTAAGTTATCTGGTCCTTTTAAAAATCTAATCAAACCATTTATATTCTTAATTTCTCACAGCAACAAATTCTGATGGAAACATCTATATTTGTCTCAATTGTGCTTCTATGTGAGGATTACAATTGACTTAAAATGTCTGTAGGGAGGTGAGATGATCCCATCCTATATATACCTACAAAAATAAAATGTGTGGGAAACATACACCCCTATTTTTCTTGTTGCACTATAAAATTCAAAACAAACACTAATAGCATATTTTCAAAGGAATAAACTTACTTTCAGTGCAAATAGGACAGCATCCTTTTCTGTTGAGAATTTTGCCCTAATCAGAAGAAAAACAAATAAAAGATTAATGTTAAAAAAAAAAAATACAGGGTCTGCTGAGGACAGATATCTTTTTTAAATCTAATACCAACTAAACCAATGAAATCAGTCCAAGCTGTATCTGAACTCAATGCCCAGATGGTGATGATGTAGTGAAAATGAAGTTTCAGGTATCAGGTTCTAAGGCCAGCCAAAGTTATTCCGTAAGCTTTTCTGTTTTTATCCTCCAAGAAATATAATACCTAAAGGGCTCACTCGTGTGATTTCTCTCACATGGAAGGAAGATGAAGACAGTTTGGACTTAACCTTTTCACTGATATCCAGATCTAGCCCTCTAGAGATCAAGGGCACATACATAAAAATGGAAATTATCTGTCAACCTATCAATCCCTACAAGACCTTCTTTCTGTCTTTGCTTGTTGGAGAAGCTTAAACAATAAACTGTAATCCAAGCTCAGGACTCATCAGCACTATGGATATGGGCAATATCTGTGCTATGGATCAAATTTGGTCAGATTTCTTGTTTCAGGAAGTGGTATGTATCCATGTTGAATCACTGTTATGCACTCAAAGCCAAGGAAGCTGAGAATTTCGAAACACTGAGTAATGCTTCCTTACCTTTCCGGAAATACAGCGCCATTTTCTACACTGCACATCTTTTAAGTTTTTTTAATGCATGACATTTAAAGGAGGTGGCATATTCTGGACTCATGTCAGAAAATCAGTTGTCTTATCTCTGACTCAATGGTTAATCACAGAGAAAAATAAATGTGGAAGAAGTTTAACATTTAGGGAGCACTTGCTATACAACAAACATCTTACTCCATATGTTATCTAACATCAGGTTAGTGATAAGGATTTAATGAGTTAATACTTATGACCTATTAAGATTTAATGAACATTAGTGATTTTATAATCATTGTTATTAAGATGCATAAGAACCCTGTGAGCTGAGTATTTCCCTTTTTATCTGTGAAGAAATTGATGATATGCAACACAGGGGTAGTAGAAGCAAAAATCAAACCTAATTTTGTCTGTCCCTAAAGGACATGTTCTTCTCACTGCAGAGTTTTGTCCTCTTGAGTCTTTTCTCTTGAAGATAATTTAATATTTGTTATCTGCTATACACCAGACTGAGTGCTATGTATTCCTCATACTTGATTGTTGAAGTTTCACAATAACCCTCCACATGCAGGCATCCTTATCCCCTGTTTACAGGGAACTAAGGAAACAGAGACCACGGAGAGATTACCAAGGCTTATGTCAAAGCCACACGGCTCACACACTGCTCATTCACTCATTCACTACTGGTCAGTCGCATCAAGAGTAGGCTTAAGTATCCCAAAAGAAAAAAATCATATTGACTTAAAGGATTCTGGTTAATTATTGAAAATCTTTAATCAGGTGTGATTTGGTTTTGTATCAGCTAGGCCTAAAATGATACATTAAAGGCTTTGACAACTTTGAATGAGACTTAAAACTCAGCCCCAGCCAGCCAGCCACACTGTGGGGGCATCACCATATATTTTCATTGCCCAGAGCTATGCTGTCAATTGCAGTTTGGCACAGGGGTCTCTTTAGGTTTTTCAGTACTGAAAGCAGTTGCAGATGAAGCCAAACGAGGTCAGCTAGGCCCAGGGAATGACGACCCCAAGAGGATTAAGGCACTCCATCCCAATGCAGCAGAGCCGCCTTAAAGCCAAGGCCCCAACCAAATGTGACTAGGATTTCCTGCATCCACATCTCAGTGGAAACTTCCATCTCTCGTCTTCAGAAAATGAAAGTGGCAATGATGATATCACTAAATTAGATGGGGGAATAAATCAGGTACAAGCTGTAAAGTTAGAGCACCTGGGTAATATGCAATTAGCTGTAAGACTCTAGTCATGCTCTAGGCTCATCTATAAGCAGGGTCTAGAAATAGCACCCACCTCAGAGGGGTGACGTTAGCATTAAATGAGATTAGTGTTGTGACTATAAAATCTCAGTACGTATTAGAGATAGAGAGATGACCGTGTCCTGATGACCCAGTCTGTGCTGCAGGCCTCATAGCCCTTCTCACAAATGGCACTCCTTTGCCTCTGCGGGAGTTGCAGGACCGGGACAGGATAGACATGGAATTCAATCATAAAACCCTTCTTCCACAAGAGATATTCACATATGGAAAAAGAGATACGAAGTAGCCAGGAAAGAGAGCAGAGAATACAAGCAGCTCTTTTTTCCTTTTTCTTTTTTTTCAAAATTTCCCCAGGCAATGTAGGGGAGGGGAAGTGAGTTTTTAACAAGATTTCCATGGTAGATAGAGCTGAGTTATCTTCCAAAGACCTCCTGCTGGCCCCTGAGAAGGGAAAGTGTGAAGTGGAGGAGTGGTTGGAAGGATGCCTAGAAACAGAAAGGTAGCCCCTGAGGCAGGGGCACCCACTAGTTTTGACAAGGCCTGGAGGGGGTGGGTGGGGCGGGGAATGGCCTCTGCTTGAAGGAATGGATGCCTCTGGCCCAAATGTGGTCCACGATGATGAAAGGCTATTGAGACACCAGTGACATAAAGAACGTTGACCTCCCCCCACCACTAGCAAGAGCACAATGAAAACCATCAATCCAGCTACAAGTGGCAGAACTCAAGTGAAGCTGGAAACTCCGCGGCGGCGGCCTGCTGAGGCTAGTTACTTGAGCCACCAGGTTGGCACAGCATCCTGTTTTTGTCTTGTGGAATAAGGAAGCCCATTATTACTAACATGTGCTGCAAGAGTTCATTAGCAGCGAGGGTTCCCGGAGGACTGGCATAAATGATGTGATCCCATTTTTCCCAATGAATATTTATAAGCAGACCGTGTTCAAGTCTACTTATTGTACCTTCTTTTTTTTTTTTTTTTCCTTTTATGGGAGGCTTTCAGTTTTATGTCTGAGGCTTTTTAAAGCAAGACTAATTAGGATTTTTTTTTTTCTTTTTTCCTCTCCTCTTTATTCAGTTGTGCAATAGCAACAGCTGTTGTTTTTTGGTGCCTCATTTGGCACTCAAGTAAAAACAGCAACTTTTTGTTTATAATAATAACAGATGAGAATAAAATTAAAAGCTGTCTATAACAGAGAAGGGAGGACATGTCCTGAATATATGGATATATTTTTTCATTCAGGGGAAAGTCTTGAATAGGTTTGACATTTTCCAAAAATGTATGAAACTTTAAAAGGTTTCAAGTTGCTGAGGTGAATTCAATGAAGTTCATGCTGTAGAAGATAATGGTTGCTTTATTCAGTGTGCTGGAGCTATGGGTTTTTGAAAAGAGCTATTTCCATAAGGACACTATTTCCATTTGGGGCTACAATGGAGGCCAGGGATAGAGGGAGAAAACTTCAGCAAAGAAATCGGGGCTGCTGTGAGGCAAAAGAAATCCCTTAGTGAAGAATTAATAAACAACCACATGCTACTTTGAATGGTTATAAGGTGAAAAGCTCTGATTTGACAGGGGATAGAAAAGAGGAAAAGGCAAAAGACAGTTGCGATGTTAAACAAAATCTGGCAAAAGAAAACAAAGAAAGAGATCTTACAGGAGTTGGAGAAGTTTTACAAAATAAATTGGGAGAAGTCTATAAGAAATCAGAATCAGGACAAGAGCAAAGCAAAAGCCATTTTCATGCAAGGCTAACATCTGCAAAAAGAAAGAGCAAACTTTGCAATGGGCATTTGGCTACTCAGGAATGTGGAGGCTTTGGGGAGCTGGAGTCTGTGTTCGGAAGATGGTATGCGACCATGTCACACACAGGACATTTCTCGAGACACCAAGGTAAAGTCAGTCTGCATTCCAAATGTACCTGTGGGCAGCTACTGATGGGAATGCACTGCTTGTTGCGACACTCCGTCTTGCCTTTCACACAAGCACAGATGGTACAATTGATAGAGGACCACATCTCTCCATCCTACGAGAAAAGGCACAGGATCTTGTCAGCAGCTGGAGGATGACAGGGTTGAGGCAACAGACTGATTTCTTCATGGAGGAAAGCATTTCTGGCCCTGAGTGAGGGATGCCATCATTAGACTAAATGACTCAGTTGTCTGTCTACACCCAATTGATTTAAGATAAAGATTAGTGAAGATTTCAGATTGTGTGCAAGCGTGTGTGTGTGTGTGTGTGTGTGTCCCCTCCTGGATATAAAAAGAATTCTTGGCCCGGCGCAGTGGCTCCCAGCACTTTGGGAGACCAAGGCAGATGGATCACGAGGTCAAGCATTTGAGACCATCTTGGCCAATATGGTGAAACCTCATCTCTACTAAATAAATAAATAAATAAATAAATAAATAAATATAAATTAGCTGGGCATGGTGGCGCATGCCTGTAGTCCCAGCTACATGGGAGGCTGAGGCAGGAGAATCACTTGAACCCAGGAGGCAGAGTTGACAATGAACGGAGATTGTGCCACTGCATTCAAGCCTGCGACAGAGAGAGACTCTGCCTCAAAAATAAATATATATACATATATATATATATATATATATATGTATATATATATGTACAAAAATTAGCTGCGTGTGGTGGCATGCATCTGTAGTGCCAGCTACTTGGGAGGTTAAGGCAGGAGAATCACTTGAACCCAGGAGGCAGAGGTTGCATTGAGCTGAGATCTCACCACTGCACTCCAGCCTGGAGACAGAGTGAAATTCCATTTCAGAAAGAAAAAAAAAAATTGTGTGTCTAACAAAATCATATTTATGTCTTATTGTCATGCACTGTTTACTTAGTTCCACCCTGGGGGAAAACCAAGCATGAATTTTCATACATGAAAAAGTGACAGGAATCTAATTTTCCCTGGTTTGATAAGACTGAAATATTTAAGTCAACCCAGGCACCAATGATTAATTGAGATGTCCAGAGGTGGTTAATCACTAGATGTGCCATGGTTCCAACCCATATGGGGCATGCCTAAAACAGAAGCTAATTCAAATGACTCCCAGAGCTCAGACAGATACTTGATGGGCAAGTCACCGAAAATGCAGAGCTTAGAGAGAAGCCTCTAAGCGCCATGCACATCCTGTCCCTGCCTCTCTAGTCCTCTCCTCTCAAAAAGCATGGCAGCACTTTGGGACACATTTCCCAGACTAGATCCTTGCTGAGACAGAAGGAGCCATTTGAGGAATTTCTTTCACTCATGAAATGTGTAATCCGTGAATGCCAAATGCCGCAAGAAGCCCTTGTACCTCTGGAGGACAGGCAGGGATGTGCATCCTTGCTTATGAGTAAAAAAGATCACAGAAAACAGAGTTGTGCCTGAAAACAAAGTAAGGATTCCGTCCTGGACTTGTAGATCCAAGCAACAGATTTTCGTTAAAAACAGAAAAATAGTTCAGATCTTTGATAATTCCCCTTCCTCGTTCCCTTCCTGACTTTTTGAAGCTATTTTAAGGATCGACTACCCTCTAGTGCCTTTCAAGAGAGGGAGACCTAACTGGATCTGCCTTTAAAAACACCTGACTGTTCCAAGTGCTCTGAGTACACATTTCTAGGAATCCACGTTTCTGTGAATTATTTTAAGCCTCAATCATTTAAAGGAACTGTTTTACAAGGTGACTTAAAAGTGTGTTGCACACAGCACCATAGTAAGGATGAAGCTATTTCATCTGGGTATTCTGGAGACAGAGGAGTAGACTTTATATCAAGAGGACATACGAGCATCTCTGAAAGCCTGGTGTAAATACAACACACATGCCTCCCTCTTTACTGGGAATGACACCTTATGTCTTTTTGTGTGTGTGTCCTCAATTGTTTTATCTTTTTAAATTTATTTATAATTGTTTTATTTTTAGTTCCAGGGTACATCTGCAGGATGTGCAGGTTTGTTACATTGGTAAATGTGTACCACAGTGGTTTACTGCACTTATCAACCCATCACCTAGATATAAAGCCCAGAATGCATTAGCCATTCTTTCTAACACTCTCCTTCCTCCACCCTACTCCCCAATAGGTCCTAGTGTGTGTCGTTCCCCTCCCATGTCCATGTGATCCCACTTATAAGAGAGACCATGCAACACCTCATGTCTTCCTACTGATTCCATCAGAACCAAGATCTCTCCCTCCAGCTACTTCAGTGTGATAGGAAGTCTGGCTCATTGCAGAACTACCACAACCGGCTTGATTCTAAAAGTCTTGATTCTCATGGGCTTCATGACTTGACACCTTAGGTACAGAGTGATCTGACTCCTTCTACCCCTATAGAAAATAGACTAGACGGGAGGTACTTTGGGCAAAGCCAACCGTCCTGCATTTTGAAGTTTAAATGGCCAATGCACTGTTTCCCACTTGGGGTCCTCAGAAAATAATGTAAAATACACCTGAGATTGATATTGGATGGCCAAAAGAAAACCTTTTCAGTTCAGCTGGGCAGAGCTCTCTCACCTGGCTCAACTACTGTGCTGGCCACGTACGCTATGAACATCCTTATCTGAATATCTTCCAAATGAGACAATTTCTCTTTGAAAACATGGCTTTGTGAAAATATTCTGAAAGCATCAAGCTGTATAGATCCATCAGGACCTTGACAAGGATCATCACCTTGACAAGTGTCATTGAGCGTCTCCAGTGAGACCAGGTACTCCCAGGCATTCAGGTAGGTTTTACAGGCTGAACATATTTCAGCAAAAATATAGAGCCAAGAAAAACATCTTTCAAACAGTTGATTCTCTGCCCCATCTGCACTTGATTCTAAATATATATGTATACATAATACTGTAATGTAAATAGATACCTTCTATTAATATATGCACACATATACATTGGTATATGTATATGGAAATTATGAGATAACCCAATCTGCATCGTGTCTGGAGCTCTTTAACTGTCAGTGTAGTAACACAGCAGTTCCCATGTGCTTGTCTCATGACATACCCGGAAAATCTTGTTGCCAAATTTGCACACTTTGATGTCTTCTGGGGGCACTCGTAGGAGGCACTCTTCACAACAGCCCTCCTTGCCTTGGTCACAGCCACCAGGGTGGGAGCACTTCTTCTTGCAAACCACAGTAGAGTCCTAGGGACCCAAAGGCAAACTAGAAATTAAAAATGATCTTCACCTCTACCAAACGTCCCACCTGGCCTTCCTTTCATAACCCATAACTATCTGTGTTAAAACATAGTCTGTAGGTATCATATTTTAATTTATTGCAATAAATCTTTCACTCACTTCAAAATGTGATTTGTTAAGCATCTAGACTAGAATATGAGGGCACTGGGAAAACTATGGCCTGCAACCCCTACCTCCCAAAGGTTTATGATTTCACGTTCTAGAGTCTGAGGAGCCTACTTCACCAGCATGTAGCAAGACCGCCCAGCTTACCATGAGCCACCAGTTTCTTTCTTCCTGCCCTCTGTGTCTTTGCAACCTACACTAATAGTGCTCTCTTGGGTTTCCTCCATGGCTTTATGCCACCTTTTGGAGTTTAACATAAAGGCACAATATCTTTGGTCAGAGAGTAAAAAATAAGTGTGAATGCACCTAAGATTTCTCAAGTGTGTTCTGTGCTCACAAAATAACAGAATGTTCAGTTTCAGAACTGGACCTGGATTCCAGAGCTCTACTGGAGTGGAGTTACTTTGACGAGGCCATTTATTCACTGAAGATGAAGAGCTTATATCATCTGTAAGTTAAAGAAGCATGATTTGATTTCCAAAAAAAGTGCTCTTCTGCCTATTGCGTCTCAGGTTTACTGTGCCTCTTAAATGTAAAATACCTGGCACATCAAAAATATTATAAACCAGCTTAAATTGGAAAAAAATCCTTTGTCAAACTGCATATTCTGATTTCTTCTTTAAAAACAAGGGCACTCACTAGCTGTCAAACAATACATACTTCATCATAGATCTCCCTGCTTTCATTGTGTGTGTGTGTGTGTGTGTGTATGTGTGTGTGTGTGGAGAGAGAGAGAGAGAGAGAGAGAGAGAGAGAGAGAGAGAGAGAGAAGGGGAGGGAGAGAGAAAGAGAGCTTTATGTACATACCATTAGAATGTGATACCTAGCGCTGTGTTAAGCAACGATAATATGAATACAGAGATAGATAAATGTACTGTCCTCAAGGGATTCCTCACAATGTAAGAAGGGAGATAACCATGTAATCAAACAAACTGCAATTATAATATGGTAAACAGAACTAGCACAGGGGTAAAGATAGCAAAGACCAGGGAAAAGTTACCTATCCAGGTAAGTCAGGAAAGCCTCTCAGGTTGCATGACACCCGAGATAGGCTATTGTGGATGAACAAGCATTTGCTATTCAAATTTAAAGACAGTAATAACATTGTTGTAGAGGAATTGTCAAATTTGAAGGCACAAAGATCAAAGATCTGAAACCATTTTGAATGTGGAGAAAACTACAATTGACACTTGAGCAACATGGATTTGAACTGCATGGGTCCACTTACACTCAGAACTTTTTTCAGTAGAAATTATATTAAGTGTGCCTGCCTTTCCTGCCTCCCCTTCCACTTCCTCTGCCTCTTCTACCCCTGAGACAAGACTGACCCCTCCTCCTCTTCAGCCTACTCAATGTAAAGAAGATGAAGACCTTTATGATAATCAACTTCCACTTATTAAACAGTAAATATATTTTCTCTTCCTTATGATTTTCTAAATAACATTTTCTTTTCTCTAGTTTACTTCATTGTAAGAATACAGTATATAATACATAGAACATACAAAATATGTGTTAATTGACTGTTTATATTATTGGTAAGGCTTTCAGTCAACAGTAAGCTATGAGTTAAATTTTTAAGGAGTCAAAAAGTAGATATGAATTTTCAACTATGCAGGGAATCAATGCCCCAACCCTCGTATTGTTGAAGAGCCAACTCTATTAAACCATATTCAACAGGTTCCTGCACCTGCCATGGAAATCATGAGAAACACTGGATGGGAATACTAGAGAGGGAAGCTCAAAGCAAAGAGAAAATAATACTGAATACTCAAAATAATGGCAGCTTGATTTTTCAAGCATTTAATATCCCCAAGATGACTGTGAATTCATACTTGAGTAAAACAGCCTCTTGGAGGAAGAGTATTAATTACACTTCCTGCTAAGCACTGGGATGTATTACCTAGTCATCCCCCAAGGAATCCACGAACCCAAAGCATGGCAAGTATAACTAACCCATTCACGGGATGACTGGCTTTCCTGTGAGCAAGAGAATTGGGAATGTGATATGTTTCATCAAAGGCTCGGTATCCCCAAGAGGAAGCTATCACCTGTGAAATGTTTAGTGGAGAGAAGTCCTGAAGATAAAGGCCAAGGCGAAAAGCGGGTGCCACACGTTTAGCAAAGGATAACACAAACCATGGAAGGAGTAAGAGGCTTCTGGAAGGTATTCTCAAACTTAGGAATTACTCCATGTTTGGTGTTCAGGGGAACAGACAGTTCAGCCCATACCAAGCCACCTCCTGAAATGGTGCATGCTACTGAACAAAGCATGCCTCAAGTAATCATGAACTGCTGAGCTCTAATCACAGCTACTGACTCATAGCTGACATTGAGCACAGCTCCCTTCTTTCTCTCTCCAGATCTTTAACTATTGAAAACAAAACAACAACAACCATGACCACCGAAGTGTATTCTAAACTTATCAGACAGATGTGATTCATTAACTCACTAATGAATAATCTTAAAAGTCCTCCCTGATCAATGTATTTCTTCTTGGTTTCAAAAATAAATCACTGCATAAGTACAGTCATTGAATGTGTGATGTGTGTCCCTTTAAAATTCTGAAGCTGTGGAATTCTTTCTTTAGCAGTAATTAGACTTCTGGTTGCCTTTTGAGAAAAATGAGCAAAGCTTCAAGTAAGACATGATACAATAAACAACATGTAAATACTCTCTTCCTAAACTGCCAGGTTTATCTTGTGATGAACTGTAAATCCATGCCTTTCTCTTCTCTTGAATGTGGTTAAAAGCAATTTTTATTGCCAGGTGTGTTACAGAATTCATCTTGCATAATTAGAGCCAGAGGGCACTGCCATATGTACTTGTCTGATTTCAGAAAATCCTCACAATAGGCCCTCGGAGCCTGATTCTCATTACAAGGAGCTAACTTCTTGGTCCTTAGAAGATGACTGAGCTATAGCATGGGTCCTGCGTTTAAAGTTCTTGGTGATCTTGAGTATGCTTTTCTTGTAACATGGAATCATTAAATGCTTCCTCTCAATAAATAACATACCATTGCTTTTGGCTATGGCTGTGATGCTAATACTGAAACCCAAACCCTATCACTGTTGGACCACAGCCTCTCAGAACCACCTTACCCTGCAAGTGCAAACTGTGCAGTTATCATAGAGAAATGAGGATCCATTGTCATAAACATCACTTCGAAAGAGGCAGCTCCCAAAAGGAAGGTCAAACACTTTCCTCTGACCTAGAGAGAAACAGAAGTACAGTGTAAGTAAGACAGAATCAGGGATGTCCCATTTTGTCATCAGTGATTCCATCATAGGACCATTATACATTCTCATAAGACCAAGTAAGGTAAGTCTGGAGCACAAAAATAGAGCCTAGGGTCAGACAAGTCTGAAGAATCCCCAGGAGTCATTAGTTTGGACAAAGCTTGTTAAAAAAGAGTTTGATTCCACAATGAAGCTTGTAAGTTCAACAAATCTATAATGTGTTCGTCACAGTAAACCAAAATCGCTGACATGACCTCCCCTCATGACGCTCAGTTTAGTGAAAAGGCAGACTCATCAAAGATTGTTTCAATACAACAGTAAGGCAAGTTCTAGAAAGAAAACAATCTAGAAACTGTGGGAACTGGGAAGTCAAAGAATTCTTAGAAGACATAATGACTGCGGAGATTCTTAATAACAAGTAAAATTATCTAAAAAGTTGGGTGTGGGTGGGGGGCAGGGGTTGGTAGAGGTAGGAGGAGGCAAGGTATCTCAAGAAGGTCTCCAGTGAGCAAAAAGAACTAATGAAATATTGTTTGCTATGGTCTGAAAGTTTGTGTCTCCACAAAATTCATGTGGTAAAATCTAATCACCAAGGTAACGGTATTAGGAGGTGAAGCTTTTGAAAGGTGATTAAGTCAGGAGAGCAAAGCTCTCATGAATTAAATTAGTGCCTTTATAAAAGAGGCTCCAGAGAGAACCCTCATCCTTTCCACCACGTGACAGCAAAGCAAGAAGATACTATCTATGAGCCAAAGAGCAAATCTGCTAGCACCTTGTTCTTGGACTTCCCAGCCTCCAAGACCGTGAGAAATAAATTTCTGTTGTTTAAAGGCTACACAGTTTATGGTATTTTATCAGAGTAGACTAAACAGACAAAGACAGCATCTCAGTTACGAAGTTACATAAAAGAATAAAGGGTGAAGCTAACCCAAAGGGCACACAGAGGCACATGTCCAGCCTTTCATAGGCATAGTAAGTATCTCTGTAGATATCTGGTTTCCCCTGATGTGAGGACTGGATTGGTGAACAAAAGGACCAAAACAGCAATCCCAAATAAAGAGTACAATCGAATTTCCTCCTTTCTTTTAGCATTTGAGTTGCTACTCCTTGAAGCACATCAAAACATCCCTGCAATGTTACTTTAATTAAAGACTAAGTTAATTCATGTTCGCTGATCAAATTTCTATTCATACCACTCTTTCTTCCTGTAAAAAGATTAATAGCAATTTCTGGCTGGGCGCGGTGGCTCAAGCCTGTAATCCCAGCACTTTGGAAGGCCAAGGTGGGTGGATCACGAGGTCAAGAGATCGAGACCGTCCTGGTCAACATAGTGAAACCCCGTCTCTACTAAAAATACAAAAATTAGCTGGGCATGGTGGCGTGTGCCTGTAATCCCAGCTACTCAGGAGGTTGAGGCAGGAGAATTGCCTGAACCCAGGAGGCGGAGGTTGCGGTGAGCCAAGATCACGCCATTGCACTCCAGCCTGGAAAACAAGAGTGAAACTCCATCTCAAAAAAAAAAAAAAATAGCAATTTCTGTTTATCAGTTGGCCCAATGGCATGCTCAAAATACCTAAACATACTGAATCCTGTTCTGAGAATTAGAGTTGTTGGAATAACTATTAGTAGGAGTCAATAAAAATGTGCTTCCTATTGTAGTCAACCTCAAGGCCAGGAAACAATACAGATGCAGAACTAAATCATTAATTTGGTTCTCACTACCAAGAGCAAACTTGTTGGCCCTCAAAAGATGGAGGTGAGTTATAATTTGGATCCTATGTATGGACTCCCTCGTAACCACTGAGTATTATATCTCCAGGCCTCACTGAGTTCACTCATAAAATGGCATCACCAATAGCACATTGCCATGTCACTACCTCTTACTACAGTGTTAATATTAAAACATACAACCAAAAACTCTGTCACGGCTAGACATGATTTAGCATGGTGACTGTTAATTCCCCAACCAACACAGGTATTATGTGTGCACCCAGGTCTTGTGTCTGGTACTTCCTAAGAACTGACATTCTAAATTAAAGGAGTATCTGTCAAATAAAAAAATTCATTCTTTCCCTAAATATTTATCTCAGGAACCCAAATAGGTTTACCCTGAAGTATCAGAAAGCTGTACACATCCTGAATCACATGGATTTTGCCCATCCCATTATAATCACTTCTGTCTAATCATAAAAATTATTATTATGAGCAGTTATTTTTTTGAATTTACTATAAAAATGATGGTGAAGTCATTTTTTACTACTTTAAACATTATCATCCTTTTAATCAATCCATCAGATGTATTTCTGTCCTTTAATAATTTAAAGTATCTCTGCTTCCATTGAGTAGTTTTTTTTAATTGTGATAATCTGGTTTGCCTTTTTACTATCCTTTATCTACATGTACTTCATGTATTTTGTAATTGGCCTTAAATCCTCGTTGGCAAAAGGCAGAAGATAAATAAATAGATAGTTACAGAGCTCTCTGTAGAAGCTTCATCCTCCACTAATCAAAATGCATCTTCTTCATGGCTGAGCTCACATTGTTTCTGCAGAGGCCCTTCCACCTCTTAGAGCTATGACCTTTTCCTGCATTCCCATAACCTGTTACCTATACTACCATTATAGCAGTCAATACTGTTGCACAAGTGGGATGGTTGGATAGGTCTATTGATAAATTAATTTATTGATTGATTGACAGACTCTTCAATGTGCTTATCCTCCTGAACAAATGTGACAATGGCTTAAATTCTTCCTCACTAAAATTAGAATTTTACCTAAAATTGTAAAAATAGAGCTCTTGGAGCAGTGCCTGATGTTCATTACACATCCCCAATAAATGGTAGATGCTTATTAGATTATTATGATTATTAGAGGTGATATAATTCAAATATGATCCTGGGCTGTGTCAGTGAGAGGGCTCTCAGTGCTGCTTTACGTACACTGACCTGTGCTGAGACTCTCCATTGAGAATGAGGAAAACGAGGAAAGGAATGTTGTAATGCGAAAGGCAGAGGTATATCATGTCAATGAACCCTGCCCAAGGGAAAATTTAAGAGCGAAACAGCACCTAATCATCTCAAGTAAAATTAGACTAAGATTTCAGCATCTAGAAAGCATCCTAGTGTTTGTTTGCTTTTCTGTCTTTGTTTCTTGCTATGTGGGGTTGTTTTTTACCCTCAAAGAGCATAAAATCTTACCTTAATCCCAAAGTCATCATGATCCAACATAAGATAAAACATTCAATGGAGTGGTTCAGAGACTTCGTGCACAGCCTGACTTAAGACATTTCTATATCATTCCGCTGGGGTCTAGCCCAACCGAAAAAGATGTCATTTGGAAGAGTTATGATTTTCAAGTTTCTCAAAACTTACTGTTCCTTTTATAGTATGCCTTATTAGCCCCACATGAACAGAAAAACCTGTGTTCAATACGATAGCTGTTGTTCATGTGGGAAACTTCTGAGCTGACTCAGCATAACCACAGTACTAGCTTCAAAGCATTAATCAAGTTTACTCATCTTTTGGGCCAGACCAAATGCCACCTCCTTTGTGATGACTTCCCATTTAAATGGCCACTACTTCCACTGTAGCCCACAGTGTGATGATTTTGTACCACACTGAACTGGCTAATCCTATTCCAGGAACACTAATACACACTGGCAACCCAAACAGAACACATAGAAGAGGAAATGTCTTTAATCAGGAATGTCTAAGCAATTCTGCTTTGTCCTTCTGTTTCACATTCACTTAAAATGTGTGTACGTATGTGTATATATGTGTATGTAGCAGGTGTGTGTGTGTGTGTGTGTGTGTGTGTGTGTGTGTGTGTAGCAGGAAGGCAAGCATTGCTACATGAAGTTAGCAGCAGAAGACATCAAGGAAGAGAGAGCTCTTAGTTTAACAAAATACCTGTATTTGTCAACTTGGTGTTAAAAAAAAATAGACTTCATGGTATGGCTGTGCTAACTCGGGAATGAGAAAAATAAATTGACAGGCTGCTTTGGAGTTGAAGACAGTAAACTCTGAAGGGAAGGAGAGAGGATTCAAGGAAAAGGCCTGGGCATTAATTGACAGGAGGCTGGAGCTCAAATAGAGACAATCAGTGAAATTCTCCCAAAGGCAAAACAACTAAGACCTTTTAAGAACGAGGGAGTTTAATATTCCATTTTATGTTGTTCACTATGTTCTGGGTAAAACAATCACTCTACTGCCTGCAAACCTTCTGCGAAATCTGCTGTCAAAGCCTTGACTCAATGGCCCCCCAGAATGTAAACAAACTTGAAGGGAGATGCCTCTACAGAGACAAAATGATGTTTAAAAAAAAAGAAAAGAAAGAACAGAAATCAAGAGAAATAGCAGGAGCAGAAACACCAAGCCAGAGGTGATTAGGAAAAGCATTAGGCCCTCAAGGATCCCTGGTGATTCTAGGGAGGTTGCTAGAGGTTCTAATGTATTTGCATGGTGGCTCAGGCCACAATATTTTTTTGAATCTTAGTCTGACCTCAACTAGCTCAAGGGCCCAGGAATCATTAAGAAGGCAGCATAGGCTGGGCATGGTGGCTTATGCCTGTAATTCCAGGGCTTCGGGAGGTCAAAGTGGTTAGATCACCAGGTCAGGAGATTGAGACCATCCTGGCCAACATGGTGAAACCCCATCTCTACTAAAAATACAAAAATTAGCTGGGTGTGGTGGCTCATGCCTGTAATCCCAGCTAGTCAGGAGGCTGAGGCACGAGAATCGCTTGAACCCAGGACACAGGGGTTTCAATGAGTCGAGATAATGCCACTGCACTCCAGCCTGGTGACAGCGAGAGACTCCATCTTAAAAAAAAAAAAAAAAAAAAAAAAAAAAAAAAAAAAAAAAAAAGTAGCATATATGTAGCATGTAAGCAAAGCCAATGAAGCTCATGCTCTAGAAAATATCCATCATATATTGTCCCCTTTCAGTTGGCAATGTGCATGCAGCCCTCTTGTGTCACCAGGGAAGGTGAGCTGCAGCAAGTTAGAGCTGGGCTCAGGAATCACACAGATTTGTGGTAGGATATCAAACCCGTAACACACTGGTTGGACTGACATCTAGGAATCTACTTCCTTCTCAGCACAATAAAACTAATAATAGCACCTGCATTACACATAGGAATTATATATTTAGTACCTACATTTCACAGTTTCTTGAGATCAAATGAGAAACAAATATATAAAGTGCTTAGCATGGTGCCTAGTGCCTATTAAATGTTCAGTAAGAAAGAGATCAGACTCTCTTTCTGTTGGCTATTATCCACTATTTCCTTCCAAAACTCTCATTTTCTTGCATGTGTTTCTTCCTCCATGTTTTTGACTCTGAAAATAACCCTAGTCTACATTCCTCCATGGGTTTACTTCAAATGCCTTTAAAATATCTTCTAGTTAATAGTTGATGTGCCCCCTCCTAAAGATAGTTTCTTCAATTATTTTTCACCACAAGGGAGAATTATCTGAGATTATCTGTTGTACTCCGTTACAGATACAAGTGAAGACCATAGAAAAGCCTCGCTAGAGGCCTCAGTTAAGAAGCAAACCCTGTACACACCTTCCATGTCTGTAATTAGAAGAGGTAGTTGTCTCTAACAAGCCATGAAACAGGACAATTTGAGAACCTCAAGATAACAATGTGGATAAACATTCCCAGCAGAAACTTTGAGAAGAAATCACATTGTTGTTCGACCTGAAAATAGTAACTCACCCAAACACTTGGGGCAGCACTGTCCTGGGGGTATGTGACTAAGGTGCTGGGGACAGGAGAGAATGGGACAGACTTCTCTCACACATTGTGTCCTGCCTCCCTAAGAAAAGAGAGAGAAAAAAGCATATTTAGAAAAGTAAGTGCACGTAGATTGTACAACCAAGATACCTAGAACAAACCTAAGGCACTTCCTTAGTATGAGGTCCCTAGGCCAACTGCTCAGGCCCATGTGATTTTCCCCAAGCGTCCTTTAATCTTCCCTGTAGGACACACAAATTGCAGCTGCAAAAAGACTGCCTTCAAGGAGGTGATTCCAGCATCATCTCCCTTCACCTACCACCACTTTTCTTTATCTTTTTCCTTCTCAAAACCAGCTTTAGAGTAGGTGTAGAATGACCAACTGTCTGTGTGCTTGGGATTGGAAACAAATAATGAAACCAGGAAAGTTTCATGCAAACTAGGATGAGTGGACCATCCTGATAGTTCACTGCCTTCCCTTTCCACTCTGCCAAGCAAGCAAAGAAACCCTTTAACATTTTGAGACTTTTCCTCCTATCTTCCAGACACCCATCTTTCTACAGATTCTGTAGACATCTTCCTCCAGGAAGGCTTCACTTTCTGCCAAAGCAGGAAGGTGCTGCTAAAATGGCTCAAGGAGGTTCCAAGTAGAGGAAGTGCCCAACCTGTTGAAAATGGATACACTGAAAGCCCATGTTCAGAAGAAACTATTTCACTGAATTCACCAAGCTATCCAAATCTGTTTCCACTAGTTAATTGTACGGATATGAAGTATGATATGAGAAGAACTAGCACAGTTTCAGAAACCTATTTGGAGAAGTTTTGGAGCCTCTGAATATTTTCCCTGCTCCCTCATTCTCATTCTTGACCCTTTCTGTTCTCCAGCACTCCATACCTTCAACATCCACTGTCCCCCTTGTTTAACCTCAGCATGCCCTCTTCCATGCCTAAGGATACACTCTACTGACTTCCCCTCCTATCCCTCACCAGAGGCTCCTGCTTTCCCAGGCTTGGCAAGTTGTAACTTCATGTTCAGAAAGCTGGGACAGAAATAAAAAGCTTTTCCAGTTGATTTACATCCGACAAACTGGCAAAGCTGAAGTGAAAACTATCCTATGCAATAGAAATTGCTATGAAACTTTATGAATAATTAAGTTTTTTCCTTTAAGAAAATCAGTGAATTTGGTAAATAGATCACTCAGCAAGTGGAATTTCAATGAATTGGCTTCTCTGGGATTTGAGCTAGAAACCAAACTAGTACCTGCAGGTACTCCTCGTCTTGAATGCATAATTTATATCTCAAGAGGCCTCAGGAAATGAGAAACTCACAGCTCAAAGAGCCGTGGGTCTGGCAAAGGAAAGATTCCATTTGAGGCGTTTCCTCACACCTTCCCCACTCCTTTCTGGTCATAGCAGAGTTAGCCTCAGCCACGAGGGACCTGTCCATCCCCATCCCAGCACACTGCATTCGCCTGTTGTTTCTGTTTTCCCTTCCTGTTCTCACCATTTTTATTATGACAGTTTATTTTTCGGTGGAGAGGGATGAAAAAGGGGAGGGTATGTGACATGTCTTTTAAAATATCTGTTTTTTTATGCCTAGTTAATGTTGGATTCTTCCTCCAAAACAATAGATAACATGCAAAAATACCACAAAAAGCTCTTCTGTTGTTTTTACATTATTTCCAGATCAACAAGAATCACTAAAACTCTCCCGAGAATACCAGGCTGTTCTGAGATTCCTCACTCAACTCTGCATAATCTTAAAGTTAGGGGCCTTTCATCAGACTTCAGGGGCATGTAACCCGAGTCATGGCCAGGCCCTGGGGTCAGCCCCAGCTTAGACATAAAGTACAAAAGGTGAATCTAGAGGGAGGACCCAAGATGCTGTCCTTAGCTTTTAATTTCAAAGAAATTCATCTGTGAGCAACTTCCTAAAATCCTGAAGCCTCTGGCCACACAAGGTTGCCTGTGTGTTGACTTCTTGTAGGTGCACAGAGAACACATTCTTTTCATTCATATTTGTTGGATCAGCATCTATTTTTCAAGCATATTTTAAAATTGAAATTTAAAAAATATTGCACAATTGCAAAAGAGTAACTCATCCAATGCTTTTGAAAGCTGGCAAAAGATTCTGTGTACTCCAGTAATTTTCCTTAAAATAAGGTCAAAGAGTGAATTTTGCGTACATAATACAACTGCAGTTTGTGTTTCCCAAGAGTCCGTTAAAGTAACTTGAATTCCAGTCTGGGTTTGCTGGTTTAGTCAAGTTTTATTTTGTTTGGGTTGCAGTATTGTGGCATAGCCCAAGTCCAGAGGCTGTATTCCAATTAATGCCTCCAAAGAAAGTCCAGGTCCTTCATAGGAGCACAGTTGCAGCTCACAACCTGCTTCTAAGATTTCAACTCAGCTGGGACACTGGTTAAATTATAATCTGTGGCTATGCTGTAGGCTAAGAGAGTAAAATTGCGAAAGTTAACATTTCTCTTTCTAAAACTGAACAAATTCCTACTGTAGATGTGCTATAAGATGCTCAAAATAGCTTTCTGATTGGCTTCCCTGCCTCAACTCTCTTTCACTGATCCATCCTGGAATGTTCAACGTGACCAGGCCTTCTTTCCAGCATCCAAATATCATTCCATTATTTTATCAAACATTTGTTTAAGGCTTTTCATATCCTAGGGATACACCAGTGAAGATAATACAAAAATCACTCCCTGTAAGGAGTTTATATGACCCTTATATGAGCATGCCCCACTTCTGCTAAGGTTGAGGATGACCTACCACTGCATCCAGGATAAAGTTCAACCCACTCAAGCTAAAAGTCAATATAATAGAGACCACGTGTTCACCAAAATCAGTTGCCTTCTATATTACATTTCCCAGACTCTCTTGCAGTGAGGTGTGCCCATATGACTGAATGCTAGTCAATGGGAGGTGGATGGAAATAATACATAAAACACTTATAGGCCTACATCAATCCTCCACACTCTCACTCTTTCTCTCAACTAGATGGATTGCCAGCTAAATGCAGAAGGCACCATGAACATTACAAAAAATTGAAAGAGTCTGGTTCCCTGGGTTACCACAGGGAAGTCTACCTGCCCGATCCCTGCAATGAACTGTGAAATAAGCAAGAAATAAATTTTGTTGTATTATTCAGATGCATCAGTTCTTTATTATCACATTAGCCTACCTTGTCAAAACATTCTATAATCTCTTATCCAATCTTTTCTCCCATCTCCAGCATAAAGACAGTTTCTTTATGAACCCCAAATATAAATTATGGTTTCCATCTTCGTTAAACATACCTCTTTCCCTCTGTCCCAGCCCGACCTCCATCCTTAACCCCTATCAAAATCCTGCTACATTCAAGGTCAATCTCAAGCCTCTTCTCACCTGTGAAGTCTTCCAGACCTTCAGTTCCTAGTAACCTCCTCCAACTTTCCATATCTCTTTTCCCATCTATACCCCTGTATTTGGGGCACACACATACATTATTGTTGACACATACATAAAAGCTCAATCCTGCAAGGAGACATTGACTTTACTTGCAAGCTAAACTGTCTTGTGGGTAGGGGCCAGTCCTCTGTGCCTACTATCCTTCAGAAGAGCAATGAGCTCAAGGAAACAAAACGACAGTAGAAAATTAGTGAATGAGAGGCAGAGCTACCACATAGAATGAGCTCAAGAACCTGAATATTTCAGGCCACTTTAACTATAGGATGCTGAAGAGAACTAAGCCCAGGCATAATTCTGGGCTGTCTCATCCACTTTCACATTGTAGCCTTGTGTTTTGCACATTTTTGGTACTGTTTGTTGGTGCTGATACATCAAAAAGCAACATTCAACTTCAGCATGTAAAGCTGGTTGGATGCATATAAGCATAACTGAAAACTATGTCTCATGTATTGTGTTAAATGTTTGAAGATTCCTAAGTGATTAAAATACAGAAGGACAAATTGCTGTATTCATATCGGTCAGCAAGAAAAGAAATGCTAGGAACTTTCATTGTACTTGAGTGTTATAATTTTCATCATCTGCCTTTCCTTAGAAAGGTAAGTTTGTTCTTCAGAGATGGTCTTTTGTTCCAATTGCATACCCTCGTGCTTCTCTCAAAAATGAGCTGTTTTTTTAAAAGAAAGATCTGAAACCTAAGCCAAGTCTATTTTCTTCCCCTTTATTTTTGTTTTAGCTGATTCCATTAAGAACACAATTGCTTTGTGTAAAAGTTTACCCTAGAGCAGCAGTTTTGCTGCATAATAAAAATCTATCTTCCTGAAAATAGTGATGAGTTCAAGACGATAAAACAACAGCCATGTGTATGCAGGATGCTTCTCCAACAGCTGAGTACCCAGTGAGACTTGGGGGCTGGAAACCATCTTGTAGCATGTGATGTGGCACTCATTCCCTGACCAGGAGCAGAGCCTGACTCCCCAACAAGAGACTGGGAGCTGAGTAGTGCAGTGCTAACCCATTACATTGAATCAGCTACACTCTTCCACATTCTAGAGCAATTTTTCCTTCTCTAGAGTTGCTTCTGAGATGGACATGGGAAGAAAAGAGAGAGAAGCTGAAGGGGCAGTATAGGGGAGAAATACGTCTTGAGTGCAAAGTGTTTACGTGTGGTCCATAATCTTATAGCACATCAGCTGGTGGTGCAAAGCTGACGTGTGAGCAAAGCAACCACTCTGAATTACAAATTTGGTCAAAAAACTTCACTAAAAAAATGAATGTCCTTAGCCACGCCTTATTTTGGCCTAGAACTGCATCTTGCTAAAGTTCCAGAGCATGACACTTAACTTCCAGGAGTAAAGATTCTGGGATTTGGTTTTTCCTGTTCTTGGCCTGCAAAGAAAAGTCTAATCTACCAATCAAAGCAGAAGAGGGAGAGTAGATGAGGTGGCAGGCTGAGGAGACAGCAGTGTAGACAAGGGGAGAGAGGATACCCCCAATAGGTAGTGAGTGACAAGCCTGGGTTGTGCCAAGTGCTGTGCCTAGGTACTTTTATCATAGTTGCCAGAAAACACTATGGGCAAGCTATTATCACCCCTACAGTAGAGAATAAGCCTCCAAGCCCTAAGG